ATATAGCAAATTTCTTGCTTACAAAAACAATAGTTATGCAACATAAATATATATGAACCACTTATGAATGTATTTCAACCACTGTGCACCTAGCTGAAGCACAAAAAAACGACACATCACTTTGACTTTATGTGTAAAGGGAACCCAAAAACAAAAACGCCGCTAGTTTTTGTCATTTTTTTAATTTGTACTCTTGACTTAGTCTACAAGCAAACAAAAACAAACAATTAAAAACACAAATACGACGCCTTATCAACTACATACATACATAGACCACCAGCACTTTAAGTGTAGCCTCTGACGTGCAAGATTACAGATGTGGATTGTGATAAGCGCAACTGACGATATTTGTTTGCAGCTACTTTAGATCCTCCAGAAACAATTTGTTCAGCTCACAGCACAGTCGATGCAATGGCAGACCCATCACACAGTAAAAGTCACCATCAATTCGGGGTATCAGAGCGCCACCAGGACCCTGAACGCCATAGGCCCCTGCTTTATCGCTGCAGCGGGAAAGGAGAAGAGATGAGCTTCCAAATCTTTGAATCATTTAAATAACTTGTACCACTAAGCTTGCAATACATAGAGTCGCTCTTGGGCATTATTAATGGCATGTGAGTCGTTCTTCAATGAGTGGATGATAAATGAGGTGCGATATCTGTGGCTTTTTTAGAAGCAGTTCCGATTTGTTCAAATTCTCAAATGCTTGGCTTCGTCCTGGCAGTCAATTAAAGGTAAACAAAATGTATCGCGTGCTTGCACTTGCACTTACAAAGACAAACAACGTTTTTGCGGAAGGCTTTGTCAAACCTTTCAATCAAAATCCTACCTATATATCTCTATATATAAAACTGTTTGTCCTGCCTGACTAATTGGCCGACTGAACCATTATTTCACTTTTCTTTATTGCATCAATTTATTTGATACATGTTTCCCACATTTTGGAAAATCCACCGAACTATGTGCAAACATGAATCTGCGCTTATGGGCGATATTTTCGTCCGACCGGCTTCAAGGATATTTTTAAAATTTTACGTAGCTCAGATAAATTTGGCGGCAAAAAATGAGCTAGTAATATACATATTGTATATGTTTGTGGTCTAGTGCTCAAATGGCAATACAGTAATAAAAGAAATAACAGCTATCTTCGGCGCGCCAAAGATTAAATACCTTTTCATAGATATAGCTTAGATTGCTTTTATATTTTATGCGTCAATGACTAGGTTTTTTTGCATTGAGGATAGACAGTCAACAGAACCAAAACGGAAAACAAATAATATAAAGACACGTTCAAACATGTGGAAAGGTGCGTGCATGCTCGACCCGTAAATGTTATCATGCATTCGATCAGCAATAAATAGGTAAAACCAAAAATTTGCAAGTCGACGTGACAAAACACTTTAATTAGTCCACATTACTCCGCACGCGAAAGGGAAGCAATCAGACGAAGTACATACATACATATATGTAAGAGATCTATTGGAGAGCAAATCAAAGCATTGTTTGTAAGTGGGAGTGAAATAGATAACAGATACAATAACCTTTTCCCTTGTGTCATCTATGACCAGCATATGACCATCATGCTCGTTTGCTCTCTGAAAGCAGCGTGAATAGCGATCGCTACAAATTCTATGATTAGGCCTACAGAGCAACTACTTGTCGGACACTCCTGCCTAGACGACTCTTACTTGTTTTTATACCCTATAACCATATTGTTATTTACATAATGTATTGGGAGAATTGTGTGTAACAAACAAATGAACCAATTTCATAATCTCTGTATACAAATTCTTCGTCAACACGATGAACCGAGTCGATCTAGCAATGTCCGCCTGTCTGTGCATCTATATGAATCTGTTAATATCGAAATCTACAAGATCTAGACACTCGAGTATTGAAATATATAATCTCTCGTTTTATATGATTATCAAGGGGCTTTTTAGTCAGCAGTGGGAGACTATAAGAGTATCTTCTGTTAAGAGTATCTTATAGTCTCCCAATGATGCCTAAAAAGGTCCTTGATATACCTCCCCTAACTACACAGTAAGGAAGTTTAAGTATTTGTTATGGCAGCTCGAGGACGGTTACAGGGTATCTTAATTGGGTGTTCTGTTTGGTTCTACTTACAGTGGGTCACCGCTGTCCACATAACTTTGTATCTGCGCCTCCGTAAGTTGGCCAAAGTAAACGTCGGCGGTGTCCGTAAATTTACGCACGCCTTGCGCATGCTTGAAGACGACGCCCGTAAAGACGCGATTGCAGGCACCAGAAAGGCTGTAAGTTATGGTCATAAGTGGATTTTGATTGGGCCACATTGCTGAACCTTACTTGGTCAACATGCGCACAGCATCGGCCGCGTCCTTGGGCTTGCCGTAGATCTCCTTGCCCAGGGTGACCATCGTGTCGGCTGCTATCACAAGCAGTTTTTTGCCGTCGTCCACGCTGCTCAAGCGCTGGAACACCTCCTCCGCCTTGCCCAGCGCGGTGGCCTCTATGTAGTCGGAGAACTCTTTAAAGTCCGCCACGTCCAGATTCTCCTCGAATGTGGAGGGGCACAGCTCAGCATTCAGACCCTACATAACACAAATTGGTTTGTTTTCGTAACTGAAATTAGTTGGTAATTGAAACACTTGCCAGCATTTGTACCAGTTCCTGGCGGCGTGGCGAGCCGCTGGCTAGGACAATGCGGTAATTGCTCAGCAAATGTTTAATGGGCGCCAACATTGTTTATAACAATTAATTATTATCTCACAGAGGAGAAAGCGCGGGAAGATCGGTAGCAATGCAAAACAAAACGGTGTGCACAATAATGAATTGTAGATTTATCGATAATTGATTAAAATATACTAAAATTTGGCATTTGGCATATTTGTACACCCCCAGGAAAACGTAAGAATCTTTTGCAAGAGTTAAAGAAAATAAACTGTATATATGAAAGAAAAATACCTTGATTGATATAATACTCAAAACGAGTACTTAATTATAGTTCTAATAGTTAATTAATTAGGTGCAGATTAATTAGAATTTTCATATATTTTGACGAAAGTCTTAAGTATTTTTTTTTATAGTGGAGCAGCATACTAAGCACGTTGCAGCGGTAAATCGAACGGCCACCACAATTTATCGGTCGATTGCAAGCGTCGCGAACCTACTCGGCGGCGCCGCGCGACTTAGTTTGCCAAAAATCTTTTGTTGTGCAATTGCTTAAAGAAAATAATTAAACTCGCGACAGGCGAGTGAAAATTTAACCGTTAGCCGTTGGCTGCTGCAGCCGTACGTGAATTAACAACCGAGTTGCCTTGATATAAAAACAAGTGCATATAAATAAGATCCGAAACATAATGAAGAAGTAGCATGAATTTAGCTAGTGTACATGTGTGTATGGCGGTGTGTTTGTGTATGTGTCTGTCTGTCTGTATTAGCTTAGTGATATTTTTAATTGTAGCCGTCGCTGTCGCTGCCCCATTGTCAAATTCAAAGTTCCGCTGTGGCGACCGTATTTTCCGTTAGTCAACATTTACAGCTAAGCAGCGGCAGAGCTCTTGCCTACGTGCCCACACAACAATAATAATAATAAAGCCCCCCCGAAAAACGCCAGCGTCGACGTCGCTGTCCGCCATCGTCACCTTGAAGTGCCGCCGCCGCCGCAGTCACAAGGCGCACGCGAGCCGTCGCTGTCGGTTCTCGCCGTTTCCTCGCCTCCCTCGCCCAGAACAAAGTTCAAGTCTGGGGCAGCCGCTTTTGCAAGGTTGGTGATAGAACCTCCAAACAAATAAAAATGAGTGCACACATACAATTGCATATGTATAAGATAAGCATATTAATTGTTGAATCCCTATAATTGTGCTTTTAATCAACAATAAAAACAACAAATATTTGTTTATTTGTGTCAGCGACTTTCTTGTGTGCCAAATTCCAAATATTGCGTAAACATCATTCGTCCGCGTCAATCAACGTAAATTTTGCGTGTAATGTCTCAAGTGCGGGCTGCTTCAATAATTGTGAACCGTCTTATAAATATACCAAAGTTGGTATGAGGGAAATTTTCAAATTTAGAGCAACATTTGTAGGAAAATTTCACTTCCCAAAGCTTAATATGTAGGGAATTTAAAATAGCTACAGTCTAACTAGTAGAAAACAATAGTAGATTGTTGATGAATGATGAAAAAATGTTATAAATTAATCAGATTTGTAATCAACTTATTGTTCTATATTCATACAACTAATTATGTTATTTCATAATTAATTACAGATCGGGAACTTAGACTGATTTTTATACTGATTCACAGAACTGAGTTACTCAATACATAAAAAAAGAAAAATATGTAAAAATAAATGATTATTTTAATATTATTCTTTTACAGATATTTTAAAACACATTTTATCCGAAGAAAAGCTTGGAAATGAAATTGTTATTTATATACATAGTAAAAACACTTATATTATAATTAGAAGAGCACAAAATTCATGAATTTATAAGATATGGAGTTAGATGAAAATGCTCAAAAATATTATTATGATTTTCAAAATGTAAACTAAACACATCTAAAAAGCTATCTATGCTTTATGCCAGAGTCAAATAGGAAATGCAACGCATATTTATTCCGAAGTAATTTATTTGTGTATTATTAAATTTATAGCCAACCGCTATACAAAAACAATTTAAAATTGAGTACTAGTAAATACCGGTAAATTGAATGGAATTAACAAAAATTCCGTGAATTGTCATAGAACTAAACTTGAAAATTCCAGAAGAAACTGATTTTCCGTAAAATACATACAAACAACTAGCTGTAAAATGCTGTTCACTGCACAGCGCTATTAAAACTGTGACCCAATCATGGCAGCAGTGCCTGAAAAACTATATTATATTGCAGATGCACTCATGTAAATCTGCATTCATGCTTACATACATTCATATATCTTCTTGTATATACATTTGTTCAAGCAATAAACAAACTAATAATTTCCTGTCTCTCCCTCTCGCGCTTCTCTCTCTATTTTCAGCACACATATGTGTTTGCGTCGACCACAACATTGTAGCTAAACATCACGCGCTCACTCAACGACAAATTCGCCGCTCTCGCTCACAGTCTCTCTCTTACTCTCACACCATGTTCTCACTACAGCAATTGATCAAAACGACAGCCGCAGCGTCGCAAGGTGGCAGCAGCGTAGGTGGCGCTGCTGATCTATACAAGTTCCTTAGGCAACTCAGCAGCAGCTGCAGCGGCAGCAGCGTCGCGAGCACACGCGGCGTGACGTCATCGGCAGCAGCTGAAGCTACAACTACAGCAATACCAAAGCAATCTAGTCAAGCACCGTCAAGCGAATTCAACTTCAGCGACAGCGTCAGTCACAATTCGCCTTCGATAGCGCACGGTTGCTGTCCGAACGAATCGAATTCGGAGTCGGCGCACTTTGTCAATTTATCAAAGCAATTTGTAAGCAATTTACTGCAGCAGCGCAGCCAGGACATACAGAGACAGCTACACACGCAGCGCAGCGAGAATAACGCCAAATCCTCGCATCCGCAGCAGCAGCAGCAACAACAACAGACAACCACAAAGTTTGCCATGTCCTCACTGGCAGCGGAGCCTCTCCAGGCGGAAATCTCCACCAGCGAAGGCAGCAGCATAACAGCTGCTGCGGCAGCAGCTGGCGAAGGCGCCGCCTGCCACGACGCAGCCTCCAGTGCGGAAAAGAAGCCCTGCTTCAGCACGGGCCTCGCAGACATTCTGCAGTTTATGGAGCTCATTGGAAACCTGAAAGTGAGTGCAAAAAAACGTAAAGAGAAACCAGTTTCTCCTGTTTCTTCAGTCGCCTTCTCAGGGCTACGCATCGATTTTTCAACCCTAGGAACTGATTTTTATTCTGTTGTGATTTCGCCCGTTCCCCCATATATTTCGTCTGTTTTATTTAAGTGTATTTTGGTTTTCGGTTCATTTTTCGACTGTTATCGCCTACACAAAATCGCGTGACTCCGAGATTAGTTTTATTTATTTTTTTTCTTCTGTTTGTTCCGTTTGGTAACATAATTGTCGAACGTGTGTGGGCGGCGGGCGGGCGGGGGTCTTTTAATGTCTGTAGCAAGGCCTCGTGTTTTTTTTTTCGATTTCAAATTTTGAGGTTTTGACCGTGAAAGTTTTTTTGAAAGTATAAAAAAAACTAGTAAAAACCGTATTTGCATGTCTAATTTTGTCAGCTTGGTTAACGCAATTTGTGCTAAAAGCAAGAATTACTTAACAGAAATCTTAAAAGTCACACTTCTTAATGCTTTTTACTGAAAAAAAGCCAAATAGGAACTTTATTCACAAAATTGCCAACTTTGCAAAAACTGCGAAAGGCTTTTTGCAAAGAAGTCGAAAATGTATTCCAACACATTATTTTATGAATCACACAAATCTGAGCGAAAAAAGAAAACAAACCATTTGTTGAAATTCCCATCAAATTTTTTTAGAAAAGTTATTCAGATTTTCGATTCAAAAATAGTTTTTTTTTGTTTTTAGAAGTAACTTCTATACCTAGAGTTTAATGAATTATATAGGAATAGCGTACTGTTATTATCAGTCATTAATCTGTTTATCTGAGACTGTTTTTAAAATGCTTATTGCAAAAATAACATTATATAAAATTTAGTTTTTACCTAAACAAAACAAATAGATTTGGTTTTTCAAGTTCTTCAATTTGCCCTGAAAAACAAACATAATTTTATTTTGAGCTGAAATTCTGAAAGCGAAAACAATGCAAAATTTGTTTTGCTTTCCATTTTGCTTTTTCTTCTTTTTCCTTTCTGTGTATCTAACAGAATTCACGTCTGTGAAAAATAGATATGTACCTGTAAATTGTATAATACTTGACGCCGCGTTGCTCTCAGTCGAGATTTTGTACAGCAGATATCTACAAAAAAAGTCGACGTATATATAAATATATATACAAAGCATTTTATACCGTATATTTTGCGTTTATTTTTCTTTCAATGGGAGCATTTGTGAGCGCATTTCGAATGTACTGACTGTGTATACCCTGTACACGGTTAAAGGGCATATTAACTTTAATACTTATTGCAATCAATCCCTAAATTCCCCACTTTGCTAGACATATATCGATTGCACATTTGTTGTGTTTAGAACAAAGCTCGATTGGACTTTGGAATAGGGTATTATTTGTTTCGACACGCGCGACTACACTCATTCTTTTTTTTTTATTTTTGTTAAGGGGGTTGAGTTCGTGAAACACAAACAAACCGCAATATCCCAGGTGCCATACGCTCAGGTTTAGGCCCATTCCCCCCTACCCCTGCGTCCCTATCTCGCTTCTGCTTGTAGTATCTAATCAGCATAATTGATAATTCCAATATGACAAATGTCGTTCGGGAAATTCGAGTCGCATTGCGTTATCGAAGTGTCGCATGCAATTTAATCGAACATCGATTCGAAATGACAATTCGCCTAATCGAACTTTGAGCTTAGTTTTTAAATGCAAAAGCGATTCGCTTCTAGCTACAGCCAAAACTTGCAAATGGCTCACGTGAGCACTAACAAAAAAACACACATACATATATTTTTTGTTTTTATGTGAAATCACTTGGAATTATTGTGAAATGGCTGAGACAGGCAGATTTTGTATAATATATACACACTTGCAAGGCGATTTGGCAAATGAAATACTCATATCTAATATATGTGTATGCATTAAGAAAATATATAGAGCGTAGAAGAAAACAGCAAAATAGCAATCAGAAAACGCAACTTGTGACTTTGATCTTGGCCTTCAAATTTTCGAAATATATCTGTGCATAGTATATATCTATATAGAGAGAACAGCTGTGCGCCGCAGCGGGGTGAAGGTCGGTTAAGGGGATTAGCTGGGTCTGTGAATAGCAGCTGTTGTTATAAAATATAAGAGCTCACACGTAACCGCAATATTGGGTTACTCAGAAGACCAAGAAACAGAAAATACAATTAATGCACGACTAGAAATTGCCCTGTAAACGGAATGAATACATGATGGTCTGTTAAAATATATCTTAGATAAATAAATTAATTAATTAGTATTATTGTATTATGAGAGAGAGAGACGAAGAGTTACTTTCCAAGATTGAATACCCTTTGAAGCATATACCAGACGTGCTATATTATATTTCTATATTCATTTATTATTCCAATATATATCTATATACATATATATATATTTTATTTATCAAGATACATTTCTAAAGCTCTGAATACAGCCGGTTATTATATATATAAATTACTCATAAAACCTTCGCCTATTGCCTTTCATCGTGTTTATAGAAAATGACGAAAGTAATCCAATTTCTTAATGTGCTCTAGTGTTTATTTCATTGGAAGCATACTCATATATTTTTTTAATGGTTGCACCTTTTACAAATGCCGTTTAATATTATTTTACAAAGATACTCAACTAAGATTTTTATTTAATATTTTCAGTATACATCTTTAATATTAAATTACAGATTTTCCTAGTCTTTTTTTCATGGCCCACACCTCAGTAGCCCGTCATGCCCACAACTCACATTTGCATACAACCTTTCAGGCACTTTGTCTAATTAAAAGGAATAGGCGAGAGTGGGACAGAGAGAAAGAGAGAGGGGAGAGTGACGGGTAGCGCGAGGCACTGACAGCGTAGCCGGTGACATCGTCGTCCCAAGCCCCCCTTTCGCTCGACCAACCTTCAACTTGAACCCACATGCGAGAAGGGGGCCTTTAGGCTGTTGCTATTTGATCAATAAACGGTTTTATTTATAGAACCAAGCGGTAAACAAGGTCCAAATATGTTGCCCACGTTCTACTTCCTGAATTTGCATTTAATTAAATTTCGCCCGACACTGTGATTCAAATTGCATGTGGCCAAATTAACAATGCGACATATCTCGAATGGGTTTATCTAAAATTGCCCGGGCTTACTAGCTGAAAGTCACGTTGTGGCCTATGTATGGCCTTATCACCAAATATTCAAGCAACATCGTTATTATACAAAAATGTCTACCAAATGATAGTAAAAAGCATGGCTAGATGGAATAAAAGTACGCGTACTTCTATATTTTATAAGGCTTTTATTACTTCTCCAATAAAACAATGCGAGTGGTTGAGAGTGGCAAATAACAGATACGATAAGCTAATGCTGCTGATAACAATCTAGTCCAAAGCTGGGGCTCTAAGTTGTATGTGTATATATATATATATATGTAGAAATGTATAAATAAATATCTATATATTAATATATATGGGCTACTTCAGGGCCACGCACATGATGGTCGTACCTTTGAAACAGGTAGAAAAGAAAATATATAAAAACTAAAATTTGTTTTTCCATGTGTATTGATTTTAGATCTGTAATACATTAATTTATTACTATGGTTCTTTTTCTACTTTAATAAACATCCAAGGTGCAGTTCCAATTATCAGAAAAACGCAAAAGATCCTTAAAAAATTAAACTTTTCTCTGAATGTTACTTAATTTTCTATTTTGTATCTGAAACCGTTTTATTCTAATTATTATATCCTTGTAATTTTATATATTTATTATTATTTATTTGATTATACAAGAAGAGAATTTGGGTAAAAAATTCTATATAGAGAAATGTCATCACCAAAGCTTATCTAAGCAGATCGGGAATTATAAATTTATTATCGATTTATTTGTTTATTGCTATTGATATTTATTGATTAGCATTAATTAATTTGCTTTATTTGTTTTGGCAGCATACTAAACGCACCGGCTGGGTGCTGCGGGACGTCAATGACTGCGAGTCCATCTCGGGCCACATGTATCGGATGAGCATGCTGACCTTCCTGCTGGACGGCAGCGAGGGTCTGAACCAGATACGCTGCATGGAGCTGGCGCTGGTGCATGATCTGGCCGAGAGTCTGGTGGGCGACATAACGCCCTTTTGCGGTATATCCAAGGAGGAGAAGCGCGCCATGGAATTCAAGGCCATGGAGGACATATGCAAGCTGATTGAGCCGCGCGGCAAACGCATCATGGAACTCTTCGAGGTGAGTCGATATACAAATACCTGTTAACCTATGACCAAGCTAATGTTCATATATTTTGTTGCAATAGGAATACGAGCACGCGCAAAGCGCCGAATCCAAGTTTGTCAAGGATCTGGATCGCCTGGATATGGTCATGCAGGCGTTTGAGTATGAGAAACGTGACAATTGCCTGCTCAAGCATCAGGAGTTCTTTGACTCCACGGAGGGCAAATTCAATCATCCGTTTGTGAAGAAGCTGGTCAACGAGATCTACGAGCAGCGCCAGCTGCTGGCCAAGGCCAAAGGTGCCACACCGCCGCCGGCCATTATAGTGCCTGTCATGGAAGCCGCCGCAACGCCCACAAATCTGGCCAATGGGCATGGCAGCTCAAGTTGAAGCAGATAAATGGGGGACCACTGCACTATGACGCTGTAACTGTTTTAAGTTCTGAAATTTAGGCTTAGCACATACACACACACACACCCACACACTCACACAAACACTTTATTTGTAAGCAGCTCCAACTAACAAAGATTGTTCAGCCTACCTCGACACGCTCATAGTTAGAATTTAGATATATATTTATATATATCTATATATGCATATATTTATAGTTTTAATTTATTTAACAATTTACGTAACTCCCTGTCTTTAGCTTAACTACCTGACACCATTTGTTAAACACATTAGTTCAATTCAATCTACAATAAGCGTTAAAGTCTTAGCTAATTACTTGATTCAACCTATAACACAATTGTATATACATAAGCTAAAACCAATTGTAGCTAATTTTAAATGTAACAATTTTAATGTTATTAGATGCAAATTGTCTGGTGAATCAGCAGAAAACGCAAAAATTATTTCTATTTAAGTGTAAAAGAAAAAAATGCAAATCTATTGTTTTAATGGATTACAAAATTGTCCTAATGCAAATTACTTTTCCTTGAACAAACAGTCGATGTAAGAAATGGTTGGCATATGTCAAAACTATAAACTAAATAAGGCAAAACAATATAAATAAAAACATAATAATTAAAGTCACGCTTTGAAACGGACTCAAAAAAAAAGCTAAACATTTTGTTTATTTTTTAGCAACAAAGAATTGTATTCTATCGTGGGATGTTTAGTTTCTTATTTTCTTTAATCAATAAAAAGTTAGAATATATGTGCCCTAACAGGGTGTATTAAATTAAAATTAATTAAAACATTTTATTGGTTTTCCAGATATTTACGATAGCAGACGCTACTATATAATATAGCTCTATGGCAAGAATTAATCGAAAAAATAAATAACGTTATTCGCTATGCTTCTATTAATTATATATTGGAAAATCTTTGTAACTTCATATTGATCTAGCTTAATATAAAAATTGATAGTAGCGTAATTTTTTTTATATGAAAATGAGTTTGTATGCAACATTTAGAAAGAACATGCTTTGCATGCAATCGATGAGAGCAATTACCCAGAGAGTAGACGGTGTATGTTGTAAGCATGGGAAATTATTTCACACAGCCACAAAATCCGTCCACTAGCTGTCACATCGCTAGCATTGACGATTTGGACTGCAGGCTGCAGCTGCGCTTGAGAGCGAGCTTGTGCCTGTACGCTATTGGTCGTAACGCTTTTGATTCCGTTATATCGGTTGTGAGTCTAAAGCGCTTGTCCGCTTAGTTGTTATTGTGTTAGTGTGACTGCCGGCTTAGCATTGTCGCGAGTGTATTTAGGCAATTTAGTCTGTGCGCGTCTGCCTTTCGATCGGTCGTATTCTGTGCGGTTGTGTATAAAATCGCTTTCAAACAATTGAATTCCTATTTATTATTACTATTATTTAATATTAATACTGTGTTTAAAACACTCCGTTTGTGTATAGTCTCATATAAGGATAGTAGCCTTTTCACTGGTCTACGCCGTGAAAGTTGTGTTGAATAAGCGGTAAAATGTAATTTTTAGTGCGGTGATTTTTTACTTTTGGCGCACTTTTGCACCCGAGATAGAGCGAACAAGAGAGAGAGAGAGAGAGTGAGTACATTAAAGCTTTACTTTATATATGTATGTACCATTGAGTATTATTACTGTTTATTACTCAATGTATATGTACATATATATCTTTTGTTGTAAAATGTGTAACGCATAGGAGATAATAATTATGTTTTTATTTTGTATCTCCTATTTTATACCCTTACAAAGGTTGTTGTAACTCTATTATAAAATGTATACTGGATACGAGATAATAATTTTTTTAACTTCTATACAATAACGTTAAGGGAAATATTTTGGCCCATTTTTGTAGTTTTTATAACAAGGATCGCGCTTTGTTTTTTGAATAATTTGAGAATTATTATACGTTGAAGAACATAGGGCATTCATACATTCTTAAAACATATGATGTTTTACTGCCCTGAACCAATTGATAATGGCCAGAAAGGGTATATTGGTTTTGTGCAAATATGGAATAGAGTATATTTCTATGATATCTTTAAGGTACGATATGTATAGCTTCGTATCTGCTCTTCCACCATTTTAATTGATCAATTTGAATCTCTAAGACCTAGAGGAGACCATGTGTTTTTTCGGTCATAGACTAATGGGTGGCACTGTCAAAGATTCTATGAATTTCTAGTATTAAATATAAATTAATAATGAATAATTAAATTTGTTTTAATAGTTTAACATTTTCCTACTATTTGATCAATGTGATAATGTTTTTATTGAATACGCATGGACTTAGATTAGATACTTGTCTTATATTATTTATCAAGAGCGATGAAAGCATTTTGATATTATTCATAAGGATCATAGAGTCCTAATACATGCCATGCTTAACATTTACAGCATGATCTTTGTATTTGACAAGGGGCGGCAATTTAACCTGGATCTGAAAGTATTCTAGTACTTAGTTCACCTGGAACCCTTTTAAATTTCTCATAACTTTCTGTTATCTGTGGATATACAAATGATCATGAGTTGAATTACGTCACCGACTCCAAATTGTTCATATCGGATGGATTCGATGTCCATAGGTATTGAGACCACATAAAGTTGAGGAAAACTTTTCACCCTAAAACCGGCACGTTATTGCCCAACTTCATATAGAAATTCTTCGTATCATTAGCTAAAAAATTATATCTGAATATCTGAAGCATCTACAAAGTGAAATTGAAAATTCTTTTTATTTTGATGAGTATATTTCCTTCGATTGTCCAACGGATTTTTAAACTTCTGTATTTTTAGGGCTTCGATGTCGATTTTGACGTTGATCGTTGTTTTTGGATATTATTCTGTGAAGCTTGTAGTTTTTGTCCGGCAGTTGATTGTTTTTTTTTCTGCTTGCTTTCAGTATTTTTTTGTTTTGTTTTCAATTTCTGGACATATGTTTATTGTTTAGCAATGAACTCCTAGATTTGACCAAAGATTTATTTTTCATTTTCTACAATATTTAGTAAATATTCGGAATTTAAGCTTTTTTTCGTCAGCCTGTACTTCATATAGAATGTATTTCATTTTGTTTGTTCTGTGATTAGAATAGAATTTCATAGGCGATAAGCAGTGGGTCAAAAACCGAAGAAAAAATAAGAAGGCATGCTCAAAGATTGCTAAAATTTTAAAGTTCATTCATTTTGGCTGCTGCTCGTAATTAGCTCAATCTAAGCCGAGTATTGGAAGAACCTAATAAAAAATCAACTTGGTTTATAAAATCAATGAAAGTTATTAAAACCAGCGCCAAAATGAATTTCTAGAAACAATACTAAGCTTCCCCAAATCTTTGTTAATTTTAAAGAGGACATCTTCGACGAAATCTATATGTAAATTAAATTTCAAATAATATTTGTCTTACCATGAACCGAGATGTTAAGCAAAACCAGCTATTAAGAAAAATAGCGTAATCGATTAAATGAGATTTGAAATACCATGTTTTAAGGATGACGCAGCCTCTAAGCATAAATATTGTATTCTTTTACCCATACTCTAAGCATAAATATTGTATTCTTTTACCCATATTTGTTAAACTTCAGACTTAGGTTGAAATCAATTTTCGTGCGAAACCTGAAAATAATAAGTATGTGGGCATGCAATACTTTTAGAAGGAGAGGCATCGATGAATTAAATATTGCATTGATTTATTCAAATTAAAAAAAATTTTTAAGAAGAAAGCCTTACGCTTTGCTTTGCACACACAGCTGAGTTGGGTCCATAAAACTTCAGAAAGATCGGACTGTAAGCTCCGAAGCTAAAATTGTGGGCTGAAAATTGTGATTATCTTCGTCTGGGTATATCTTAGTCTGGCTTTCTAGACTAGAGTACACATTCACTTGGTTGAAATGCAAGAATATTAAAATTTAATTTCTTAAAAAAGATTCGTTTTCTAAATACACACGAAAATGCATTGAGGATTTCGTATTAAAAACCTATAAATAGGGCTTTAAATGGCTTAATATAAAATAATATAATAAAATGTGAAAAATTGCATAGATAACATTTTAAAAAGTAAAATGGGTGGTTCCTTTAAAATATTATTTATAAGTATATATCTGGTGACCTTTGACCCCTAAATTAAAGCGACACCCAAAGAATAAAATTTGGTTTCTATATAATGAAAATTTGTTGATTGCTTACGAACAAATACCTTTATTGACAGAACTCAAGATTATGATACACGCATAGCTTATCATATATGTGCGCCAGCCAATGTGAAGTATGACGATGCTGGAAGCTTTATTAGCTATATACTCTGAAAGGGATTAAAAAGGATATTACGTACAAAATACTACAAATTCAAATAGAAAATGCTTCGAATTTACCTTCGATGACAATAAACTGATTGTCGCGTGTTGATGTTTGATGCGAGTGCTGCACGTGCTTTTTGGCCTTGTCTGCAAGGAAAAGAAAATAAATAAACAAAATAAGTTGTATTTAGTATACTACTAAAACGTATTCCAACGCACGATGTAATGTTATGCTGCGCTCCGTCTCGCCCAATGCGTTCTTGGCAATGCATTTGTATTCACCGAAATCCCGTTTGGTGACCGGGCGCAGCGTGAGGCGCATCACGATGCGATGGACATGATCGACGACCATGGAATCGTAGGTGCCACCCTGCAGCAGTTCCTTATCCTTGATCCAAAAATTGATCGACGCCGGCTGCGATTCGCTAATGCATTCGAGTGTCAACTTCTGGCCCAGACCCACGTAGATGGTATCGTAGCGCGTCCAAATGGTGGGCACAACTGTGGATGAGCAGCTGGTATTGAGCCCCACACAATAACTGAGCGCCCATCATACTCACAGTTAACCACCAGCATGACGCGCTTGCTGACCGTTGGCGGCACTCCGTTGGAGGCAATGCAGAGATAGGCGCCCATGTGGGCGCGCTGCAGCTGCCACAGCGTCAGATTTTGGCCCTCCACACTGTAGATTTCACGCTCCTGGTCGTCCTCGGTTGGCAGCCAGAGCGGCGCATTCTCCTCTCGCCGCCAGGTGATTGTGGGTAGCGGCACGCCCGTCGCACTGCACGTCAGCGTCACATTTTGCCCACTGGCACGCACCACATCCTGGCTGGTCTGGTAATCGACAATGTCCGGCGGCACAACCACGTCCAGGTAGCCCATTTGGCTCTTCATGGGGTCCGTGTTTATTTGGCACATGTACCTTTAGATTTATGTATATATATCATATATATATATATATATTGTATAAATATGTAATATTTTAGCATTCCTTTTGTTATTATTATAACAATTTTGTAGTTTTTCAAAATTATTATCGCTTAGATCTTTTTTTTGAATTTGAACCGACTTTACGCTTATCTGCTCGACGCTCAGACACCTAATTGTTATAATATTTCATTTGCAAAGTATAATTTTATAGCTGTGTTGTTTTTGGTGCTTTACAAATTGATAATCCGAACTTGCGGGTCGAGTCCAAAACCGCGTCTTGGAGCTTACTTTCAATCTGTTTATATTTAGATCGAAACCCTGCAAATGTGTAATTATTCTTGATGGATACAGATCTCAGTATAGGGTATCTGTTCGGTGAGAGATATTCCGCTAAGGCAATCTTGTATAAGTACACAAAATGTCTATCGCATGAATTGATACATTTAAATACATGTACTTGATCAAAATCAAAATCGTATCATTGTGTCCACCCGCCTGTATATATTTATTTATATTATAACAAATTTTTTACTCATTTTAATACATTTTTTCTTATTTTATATAAATTTTCATATGATAATAGTTAATTAAGATTATTTTTAGTTTTTACTCAAGAATACTTTACTTTACGTTACACCTGCCTCCTTAGCTCTGGAAGCTAATAACCTCATATGCAAAATTAGCTACGAAGAGGGGCTAGGAGGCCGGAGGGGCCAAATAAAATATACCCATCGTGTCGGTAATGTGTCCAGAAATTTGCATACTCTGCATAGACCTTAAGCTTTCAATTGTTCTATATTGTGTATTAAATACCTAAGTTGATAATCTTTATGACAAACATTAATTTTAAATATATATTTTTTTATGTTTATACCCTTGTAGAGGGTATTATATATTTTTCCATGAAATGTGAAACGCATAGAAGCAAACATCTTCGACCACATAAAATATATATATTCTTGCTCCACGTCCGTTTGTCCGTCTGTCTGTTTCGATGCAAACTTATCTCTTAGTTTTAAAGCTTTCATCTTGAAACTTTCCATAGATCCGTTTTTCTACATACGGCCAGATCGGACCTCTATATCATAGAGTTGCCATAGATACGATCGGTCGTAAAGTAGATTTTAATAAGGCAAAATATTCTGTTTACCTAGATATTCAGCTGAATAGCTATTTAAACTCAACATTTACTAGCTTTACTATACTCACATATCTGCAAAAGGGAAATATCTAGAAAGGTATTAAATCTTCTTGTATTTTTACTTTTTCTTTTTATTTTAATTCGTTTTGCCAAGAATCATCAAGCATTTCAGGTAGGGTATATATAGAGCCCACGCTTTATCAAATGGATAAAGCTTAAGTTCGACCATTAATGAATAATAAATATATATGCTCTCTAAGAAACACCCGTTTTAAAACAGAGTTGTTTAATGAGAACCGAAATTATTCAAAATTTCCTATTAAGTTTACCATGTTGCCAATAATATGGGCAAAACTTAAAATCATGGAACTACTATAGATAGGACAGCGCTAATCATTGCTTTTTTTTAGATATTTTTTTTTCAAAATATCTTTTCCAAACTCATCGCCTAAGAATCAACTCGACTGCTAACATATGATTAGTTTTATCAATGCTCGATTACTGTATCATATGCGTAGAAATACAGCATACATATTTTGTTTGCTTGCAAGGGTATTTAGTATTCGTTTTGCTTGTTCTACAATTAAGATCAAATGTCAAATAAGCCCCATTTATTGATAACAGACAAATCATCTTGCGTGAAATTTTAAACAATTTTAAATAAAAGCTTTCAGGGCTTGGTCAGTGAATTGAAAAATTCAGTTGCAAATTAGCTCAACTGAAAATCGTTCAGAAGCTGCGGCATTAAATCCTTATAATATGCGAGTGTTATTAATTCTTGTGGTACTTGTGCTAATTGATACCAATTATAGCTCAGAGCAAGCGTCGGTGAGTTTGACAATTAAATAGAATTCTTCTGCGAAATATGCTGAAATGTGTTGTGCTGTGTTTTAGCATTGCACTTCATCAAACGAAATCGAAGGACAATGCGCAGCGTATTGCTATAAGATAGTGAAGCCCCTGCTACAGCACGCAGCCAACCATGAGAGTATTCTAATATACTATAGCACAATAAGATCTCCTGCTGATAGTTTCATCAAGATGGGTTTGGAAACAAGGAATTTATTAAAGAATACGTGTGGCAGTCCACGTGGCTGCCAGCATAAGCCACAAGAATGTCTGTATAATTTAATTCTATATAGTGAATTGCAATTGGGATTGTATTCTGTGTTATGTTTATGTTCTGCTATTTTAATTTCTTCTTCTTTCTTTTTTTTTTAATTTTAAAAAAGTTCTTGTTTTTACCGATTTTGATTAAACTGATAAATTTTAATGGATTTGAAGACTCTGGATTAAAACAACTGTTGGACAGGGTTTTTTTTTGGAAGAATTTGGCTTCCTGGTATAATTTCTGTATAGGTCAACGATTTCAATAGAAAGCCAAAAGATATAGCAACAATTGGATCCTTTATTCTTTAATTTTCAATATTATTTAATTTGTGATTTTATTGAAAATTTTAATTTGTTACTTTGTTTATCAAATATATCGTTTGAATTCAAATTGAAAATTTTATGTAAAATAGAAAATATAAATAAGAATGTAACAGACTAAAGAATATGCCAAGAAAACGAGATGGTTTTAGCGCACTTAAAACACAATGTTAAGGATCAAGTTATTGTTTTAATATAAATCATATGTATAAATCGTATTTTACTCACCAGCCGCGATCCGATTCGTGTACATCGCGTATCCGCAGCTGCCAAATGCGATGCTCCGTGTGCGAGATGCCGATGCGATGATTCTTCGTGATAACATGATTCTGTATGCTCAATATGGTCTGGGTGTCCACGCGCAGCCAGGCCACCTTGTAGCTAACGAGATCGTGCACGATGCAGGTGAGCAGCGCATCGCGTCCCACGGGCACCGTTACATTGTTAATGGGGCCACTAAATTTTGGATCCGCTGGTAAAGAGATAATGTTGGGGGGAGAAAAAACTGGCTTAGAACAAGTGCTTGACATTTACGATGTTGCCCCATTAGGGCGTTAAATGGCGCAAGCATAACGAAGCTCTGCATTTCGATTCGTGTAAGGTTGGGGTTTATGAGGCTCACAAATGTCAGAATGTGGCATTTGGTAATTGAATAAAGATGTGTGAGATTATGCTCATGTATAATTGAATATTTAACAATATATAAAGGTAGGTTAACAAACTAAAGCAAGGCTGCAAATTGGACTTTTATGAGCTCGAAAATGTTGTATTTTTTGAACAAATAACGACGATTATTTTAATATATCATCTTTAAGCCCAATTTACTTATTTTCATTTCATAATAAAATTAAAATAATTTCTCAACTTGTCATTTATCATTTCTAATCCACAATTGGTCGTGATAATTATTTTTTACATTTGTGCGAGTGCCTGCAAAATGTCAACAGCCCAAATAGAATAGAAATACTTTAAACTTTTCCAGATGCCCGTCCAGCTAAGGCAAATGTTCTTGTTGCCCTTTTTCACGCTCATAAATTTTATTATGTAAAGATGCTGCGGCTGGCAAATAATCCAATAATTAGTTAAATTAGCTTTTGAGGGTGACCGAAAGACCCAGCCGAAGTGATAAGCTTCTCATAATTTGGTCTTTGCACTTGTCATGCTCGCTGTACTTGAGAATGTGTCCGAAACATTTCTTTAGATGCGATTCATTTTGTTGTGGTTGGGCATTTAGAGCTGCTTTGCTAGCATTTTTTTGGGTCTGACTAAGCTGAGTTTAGAAATATTAAATCAAAGAAATTTTAAAATTTTGTAGTTTCTTCTGTAAGAGATTCTAAGCATCTTAATGTTTATTAGATAACTGGTTAAAGGGAACTAAACCAAATTAAAAAAAATACATTTAATCATTTGCACAAATATTGAAAAAGTTTTTCTATAATTTGACTTAGAATATAACGCATTTTTGTTTTGGGGTAAGTTTGCGGAAAAGTTTGAATGGCATAACAATATAAAAAACATAATATTGCAATTTATGCACTGAAGATTATATTTTGAAATGTGTGTTATACAGAAAACTATAACCAAAAATTTGTTCAAAAATTTAATTTAATTTCTATAATTTTGGTTTCGGGAATATCTGCATTTCTCACTACTTAATATACATATATTTATTATAAATATAAATAATAAATATTACTGACTAAAAGTTATTTCAAAACCAAAAAAATAAATAAATAATAATATTAAATACAAAACTTTAGCTAATCGAAAACTCTCAAAGATTTGTCGTATAAAATAATTACGAATTACGGCACTCATTTGCATTCAATTCTTGGTATCCAATTTTTTTTTGTAATATAATAGAAAGTTAAGAGCGTCAACTTTATGCAACTTTGGCGTCGCATTTGAGGCTAACTGATAATTTAAGGGTTGCCTCCCGCATTCAACTCGTTAGAAGGGCCCACAAACTGTGGCGTCAACTTGACGGCCATAACGGCAAACCATCACGCCCCCAAAATGGGGAGCCGTAAAAAATCACATCACATGCCTAACAAGTAGCATGATTTTGCGGCTCGTCGACGCCTCACACAGCAAATACCTAAATTACAATTATGACCAAATAATAACCCCAAAAAAATGCAAAAAAAATAAAAAAACTGGAAGAGAGAGAGAGAGAGAAAGAAAGAGAGAGAGAGAGAGAGGGAGAGAGTCTCCCGGCAGTACCTGGAAAATGTAAAAAGGCGGCAAATAAGTGCGCTACCTTTTTATTTGCCCATTTTGCAGTGTGGGCGTGTGTGTGTGTGTGTGTGTGTGATTGTGCTTGTGTGCGTTGCCAACTAGTTTCAAGGGAGCCTAGGCCATGCCATATAGCCTATAATTTGCGATTATGTTTGTGTGCGGGGCAAACGTCGCTCGGTTCGGCCCCAATTGTTCAACTGGCGACCAAAGACGCCCATTGTTCGGAACGTTTCGGGCTGTTGTTATTGCAATTTGGCTATTGCATGTTTGCATATTGAAACATTCCAACGTCTAAACAGTTTTTACCATATGAACTCGCATTCACACACACACACACACACACACACGCACACATATGTATGCGCATTTTATGTCTGGCAAAGTTTGTCGGCTAACTTTACGGCTGGTAGATTACAAAATGTTTTGTTGGTTTGGCTTTTACGGCAAAGAAATGGAGCTAAAGACTAAGAAAGAACGAAGAAAGAATTTGAAAATACTTCTCGAATAATTATGTGCACAATACGTTTTTTATGTATTTAGCAAAAAATATTTTTAAGTAAATTCATTTGAAAGCTATATAAATCCATATGTACATCAATGTATTTTTTGTAAAAAATTTTTTTAAGTATGTCATTAATTTTTAATATTCTTTGAAGAATTTTTGAAAAATATATATATATATAACTTCGTATTTTAAGCTTAATATTTTAACGAAAACTTTTTTGTATGTTTCAGATTTATTAAAAAAGTTCAAACTTAATTGATGCATAAATACACACAATACGTTTTTAAGTAAATTTTTCTGAAAGCTATATAAATCCATATGTACCTCAATATATTTTTTGTAAAACGTGTTCTGAGATTGATCAAATTTTCTTTGAATTCCTTCTGAAAAATATACGCAGCTTCTTATTTTATTTAGTTAATGATTTGAAAGAATTTTTCTTGTAATTCGTCTCAGATTTATTAAAAAAGTTCAAACTTATTTCATCCGTAAATATATGTGTACATACATATTTTTTAAAATTTCTGTTTGTTAAAATTTGTATTCTGTACTAATGCAATGGACAAATTCTGTATGAGCTATTATTCTGCACAAATAATAAACCAATATGCAAAAAAGTTTGGCGGAAAAGAAGCACTGATAAATATATATCCGCATATTTTTCTGTTCAATTTAAATTTTATGTCACTTAAATAAAATAACATAATGAATTTTTGAGTAAGATTTATATATTTTTATTTGAGAAAGATTTCTAAAATAGTTTATTTTATTATATTTTACATTATTTTATTTTTATTTTACTTTATTTTATTTTTATTTTACTTTATTTATTAGCACTATCAAAGTAAATGATTACGAATTGTGTCCATATTTATTTTCTATATTACTTTATTATTTGTATTCTATTATTATTATTATTTATGATTTTTGTTATTGTTACATCCATTTCGACATCAAAAGAAAACTCGCAAATTTAAGTCACATTGATATTAAACTAGTAAAAGGATTTGAAATTAATTTTATTTGATTTCCTCAAGTGTTCATTTTTATTTTCATTTTGGTTTTTAATTTTAATTTGGTTTATTTACACGTTGTTGCTGTGCGATTTATCAATGCCTGGTCGTACACGACAGCAGCAGACACCGCAACTAGCTGCTGGCCAGGTTTTCGACTGCATGCCTCTCAAACCGTTGAACTTGAAACGGAAAGTGAATGTCCTGTCTGTTAGACACTCCAACTGTCTGCTATTTTGGTGAAATGCAAGCGAGGAAATCGCATAACGAAATACGTCAGCACACGCAATGTCTGCCAAAACGCGGCAGTTGGTCGAGCTCTCCCCTATTCCAAACCCTCAACAACCCTGTACTACCTCAACAACAAAAATAGAATATTAAAACAAAAAAAAAAGAAAATAGTTGAAAAAACACCAAAGTGCCATAGGATGTCGAAAAAAACGTCGCCTTTCCGCTTTGTTTGTCTGCAGTCGAGTACTTGCCCCGCCTTCTGCCCGGCACCCATCAGCCGTATCTTCTCCCTCTTATCGTGCGTCGGCGAGCCTGCCAATATTTTCTATGTTTATTTGCATTTCCAGCTCTTGACACATTGATTTAAGCAACAATTTCTGATATATTTATCAGTACTTGCTGCCAACCTAAGTAAAATTGCATTGTTTTTCGTTTTCATGTTCGGGCTTTTCCAGCCCAAGCGTTCCCCTTTTTTCCCTTATTTTTCAGCGGGCTTGTAGACCCAGCGAAACGGAAGTCGCTCGTCGTTGCTGGTGTTGCGCTGCCTCTTCACTGCGATACATGTTGGCCGCAGTTTATTCACTTAGGGAACCGTTGGACTTCCGCTCGTTAGTACCGCCAGCCGTATTTTTGTTGTTGTTTTAAATTTGTTTTTTTTATATTTTTTATGGTAGTTCGTTAGCATTTTTGGTAGCTATTTTGCAGGTTAAATGTTCTCAATTAGCTGAACACCTCAAAATTCTGCAGACAGACAAGTTTTATGCTTGTATATTGCTCATGATTGTTGAATATTTTTTGGTAGGCATTTCGGTTCGAGTTTTTTGGTCTTAAGAGGCAGATTTTAAGAGTATATATAGCTATATATATTGGCTTTCTATGCGATCCTCATGACTTTAAGATAGGCTTGATTTTGATCAAATCATGTTGCAAAAAACTGAAAGAAATCTATTTCTCACTCTCTTTATCAATTTCGTTCTTTTTTTCTACGATATACGGGCTTTTTATTTATTTGTCTCTCGTTTTCCTTCTGTTACTAAAGTTCACCTCTCTATGCGATTCTCAAAGTAAAAAAGGCGTAATGGGTAATTTAAGGCCTGCCTCCCTGTGATAGCATTAAATAAAATTACATGTGCTTATGATATGTAGATAAGTAATTGCAAATGAGTTTTTTTAAAATAGTTAAAGAAATGTAATCCTGAAAGATTTACAAATTACAAAATTCAGAAACTTAAGTAACATAAACAATATTCAAAAGACTTTGTTATTTTAGATTATTATTTTTAAATTAAAGGGTGCAACGCTTAAACTATTCAACAGATTAATCTAATTAGTCATGAGTTAATATTGAATGAACTTATTATACCGTCTATACAAATTTGTTTATGTTAAATATATGTGAACTTGGTGCTTATAATGAATCTTTTATGAACTTGCTATACAACTTAAATAAAAAGTCTTTTAAATATTATTGTTAAATAAGTTGAAAAAAATTAAAATTAAATTCATTTTATTTATGTACATTTAACAATGCTGAAACACAATAATATTTAATTTATATTAAATTTAAGTTTTAAACTTAATTTTCGCTTTTATATTTGACTTTAACTTACAATTATTCAACTCTGAGAAACTCGCGCTGCCTGGCCACACATATTGTAGAATTAACAAAACATGAACGAAGCCTTTTTTCATATTCCACGCTGAGTTTCACATTAACCAAACTGCGAACTGAAGTGCGAATTGTGAAGTAAACTAAAGTAAACTTTCTTTTTGCCACTTTCACTGCCAAATGGCCAAAGAGTTTCCGCTGCACTAACGTGGATTTATTTTTTCCGCTTTTCGCAAAGTTTTCCTTTCCGATTGCCCCGTCGTGTCGACGCGTCTGCACACAGTTACAACTGGCCGCGAACTGCGAACGCCGCTGATAATCAAGTGTCAAAATTCATATTCAAAATTCAAATGTTGCCAGGCGCTGACGCTGACTCCGACTCCGACTCCGACTCTGGCCATGCCACTGGCCCTGGCGCTGCGCATGTGTCTTGCGGGCTGCCAAGTGGCGCCGCGGGCGTCGGTGGTCGCTGCAGCTGGTGGCATGGCCTGAAGCCCGACGTTGGGCAGTCGCCATGGTGTTGGCGCCGGCTGTTGCTGCTGCTGCCGTTGCTGCTGCTGCTGCTGCTGGGGGGCTGGCCAAAAGCTATGAAATAGTAAATGTTTCATTCATAAAGTGCAGAGCGTAACATTTACGTATGCACGTGGCACGTACATAGACAAACATAGGTAGTTGTTGCTGTTGCTACGTGTGCTGTCTTTGATGTCAGGATGGGTATTTACAATTAGAAATTATGTTCAAAGATAGGTCAATCAGACTATACGAAATTGTCGATAAAAATAAGGGTTAGCTTATAAGTACTGAAACAAAATTCAAAAGAATTGATATACAAATTAATAAAAGTAAATAAAGACAATTATTATCGATTAAACAATTAAAGCTCACTTAAAGCAAGTATAAAGTGAGTATAGATCGACATTAGATTTAGAAAGTTCTGAAAATCACAAGAGAAAGTAGGAAGAGATTCATTTTTTTTGAAATTGCAGTTAAACAATTCTTATTGATATACAATTAAAGCTCACTTAAAGTAAGTATAAATAGTAAAAAGAGTTTTATAGCTTACTAAAAGTTAGATGATTTGGTAAGAAGAGAAAAAATATATATTTAGTATGCTAATCATAATAAATATATATGTAATATTTAAAAAAGCTCACTTAAAAGCACATTAAAGCTTTACTAAAACATGAATTTATTTCATTGAAAGCATTTAAAGCTTGGGTAACTGACATTCATGTATAATTAGATTACTAATCACAAGACACATTGACTTTATAAATGGAATAAAAATAATAGGCAATATTTTAAACCTATTTGTTACAGATATTTAAACTCTTACTGCTTGCTTTACTTTAAGCGGCATATTTATATTTTGCTAGGATATATTATAGTCGTAGATTGCTTTCCTGGAATATTATGTTTGATTTGGTTTTTGGCACACTGCAACTGGCAACTTTTGCCACCTGGCAACACTCTGGCCAACTTCTTTGGCAACTCTCCCTTTCGCTGAGCCGCCCCAATTGCTGTGTAATTAAGCCCGAAATTCCACACACATTCGCTGGTAGATTCCCTTCGCATCTTTTGTTTACGCATTGCTTTTACTTTTTTGCAATATTCGCACTTTTGCCCGTTTGCATGTGTGTCCTGCGTGCGCCGCTAAGTATGCTTTATTATTTGCGCATAATTAGCGCTTTTCAATAGGAATAATGTCTAATTGTTGAAGCCCCAGCGTAATCTTTGATTTTCTGCTTCCGCTGCAATGTGCAAGTTTTTTTTTACGAAAATTTCACAGAAATTGTTGATGAAGTGAACTTCCGTGTTGCTTGAGCATATTGTGTTGTTAATGAAAACTAACGGGAAATTGTTTTAATTTGTAGTTAAAAAAATTAAAAGGACTTAAATATTTAAGGATTGTTGCCCTTGGCTTTTAATAAATGCAAAGATTGGTTGATATTAACGTAAGTTAAAACCATAAAAACCGCCAAATAAAATTTCAAAATTTGAACACTAAAAATATTTTAAAATCTATCAAAAAATATCGGGTGTCTTAAAATTGCAGCTACATAAATTTTTCAGTTAATTAATATTATTATTTAAGAACATATTTAAGTATATTTCAGAAAGGTTGATTCATACATAGTATTTAGTTATAAAACTAACTTTTATAAAAGTTTCTAAGTATTTATAAACTGTATTGTAATAAACAAATCTAGTAATAATACAATAAGATAGACTTAATTTAATAATATACAAACAGTTTTTAGATACATTTATCGATCAATACAATAATACGTTCAAAAGTAAATTTTGTATACCCTTGTAGAGGGTATTATAATCGTGTCATAAAATGTGTAACGTATTGAAGGATACATCTCTCTCTCTCTGACTCTATCAATTATATAGATTCTAGATCAGCATGAACTGCCAAAGAATGATCGGTTGAAAACTTATTTGTTTATCAGTATTCATGACCAAAATTAGCATTTATAAGTTTCACAATGTACCTTACATATATGCAAAATCTTTTTTTTTGTGAATGCATTTTCAAGACAATCCAGATAATTATATTTAATATCAAAACGGATCCCAGATGAATTCGTAGTATTTATATTTTTCTTGTAGTTTTCTCTAGCTTATTTAGTCTTTCTCATAGATATACATGATATCTATTACATATGTTCCAAATATTTGTTGAGCCTTCTGTCTTATATAGTCTTATACAACATTTAGAAGAGGTGAAAGTTCCAGCACGTACACCCTCCCATCTATGTGAAAGCTTTTCACCAGCATTTCAACTCAAAGCTTGTTGTATGCTTTTCCAGTTTTGCAACCCCTTGAACTTTTTTTTTTCAATAAAAATAAAGTTCGTCTTATTTTAATCAAGAACTATTTCAATTAAATAAAAGCAAAAACATATATATAAAGTTTAATTAATCTTCGAATTTCAATTTATTTACTTCTAAATAAAGCAAACAATGTATTATAATTATGTATGACAGGTTAATAAATTTTATTATTAGTAAATTTTAAAGCTTATGTTATTTAAAATAAGTTTTGATCTTAAATTTGTCACACATTAATTGTGTGTCTTTTTGCGAACATAATTAATTAAAATGCTGCATGAACTATTTGCAGTCAATGGCTTTAAGCAGCTTGTCATTAAAAATGGGCACACACATGTGCGGCTATTTGCCTTTACAAAATTAATATAATTACATGATGCTTAATTTTGAAAAAAAAATACGTTTAATTAAATCCATGCAAAAATCCCATTAGATATTCATGCCGAAGCGAGTATCGCAACCACTTGTAATAAGTATGAATACACTCGACTTTTGCTGTGTGCACGAGCACATATTGCCTTGTTGTTGTTGTTGCTGTTTTTATTTGCACAACACCAACAATAGCAGCAGCAGCAGCAGCACAACAGCAACAATAATACTATAAACATTAATGCTTAAACACAGACAAATAAACATAAACATTTATGTCAATAAAATGAACTGATGCTTGACCTGGCCGGTCAGATAAAATGGTCGTCTGGTTCGAGCGAAACAGTTGACACACATACACAAACACGCACACAGAGACACGCACACATGCAGACGTGCCAAAATGCTGCTACATTTTAGTTAATTGCCAGTTCAAGTCCGGACCCGGTCCGCATTCTTTTGCAACGTCTTTGTCGAATGCTTCCAAGCGTCTAAATATTTTTAGTCAAAGGCTGCAGCCGCACGCACGACTAACTCAACCAGAGTTGCCAACCCCTCGGACCTGCCCCATGTCCATGGCCATCAGGTGTTGACCGACTGCCGTTCGGTTTCCACATGCCGCCTCGTAATTGTTGGTGTAAATGCTTTACTAAACTGCTTCTACAGCTGCTTTTACTGTTGCTGCTGCTCTTGGGCCTAATTGAGTTTGCATATGGTTTGCTTTGTACAATTAGATTATCTGCTCTCAACTCTGTATGTCAATTTGGCCCTCTCATTCTAATTGTGTGGTATTGGCAATATCTATCACATTCAGTTTGACTATTTTTGAAACCCACTGAACTGCAGCTTTTTGAAATTTGATTCAATGTAGAGAAAGTTTAAAGCGAAGATGTCTCTAAATTTAATCAACTTAAAAGCATTAAAATGTAGGTTGTAATGTTTTTAGGCTCAGTTTTATTATTGTCTCTACGCTGTCACTTTTCAGTTTATAAATATGAAGAGATAAATACATTTTTTATTCCTTTTTAATGCACTAGACATAGCTTAGATATTCTTTACGCACATATGAATAATAAATACTAAAGAATAATAACTGTCAAAATAGTACTAATAAAAATTCAAAAATATCAACTTTTTAACAATTTTGTGCAAATAGGTTGAAAATTATGCAGCAAATATATATATATATGAAAATGAACTTTTCTCCATAGCTAATACACATTAACATTTTGTAAATTTGTATTTGACTTTACTAAAATTAAGTAATTAAAAGGTTTGGCTTATCTACAGTTTTTCTCTCTTTATTTAAATCCAATTAGCTGACCAACATCTGTTTGTAATGTTGCTGTTAAAAATACAAAAAACAGATAATTTTTAGCATACTTAAAAAAATTAATTATGATTGAACGTTTGAATTTGCTTGTTAGCAGAATACACAAATAGTTTGCGGCTACTTAATGAAATAATAGATTCATTAATGTCGTAAAAGAGCACGTTGTTTTTGTAAAACATTGTTGTATTTTTTTTTAAATAATTGGGCAACCATTTAAGAAAAATAGTTGCTTATTTTATGTTTTATATCTCTATATATAAAACTGTTTGTCCTGACTGACTGACTGACTGACTGACTGACTGACTGACTGACTGACTGACTGATTGGTGATCAACGCACAGCCCAAACCGTAAGAGCTAGGAAGCTGAAATTTTCACTGTAGTTACGCTAAGACGGGGTTTCGGGAAATTCCACTCGCAAGTGTTGAAAAATCGCGAAAAACGTTTGTATGTAACTTTTTTGTTTACCATCCGATCGGCCCCAAACTTATTTTCAAAGATCTTTGTTCAAATTCATTTGAGGGGTGTTTCGCACTTTTCGG